TTTTAGCTCAGATTATTTTCAGAAGCAAGTAAATACAGTGTCTGCCTAACCCTGAAAGGAATACATTCTCTGTTTGATATAAACAACTATTTTTTTAACCACCTGTTTTTTTTTTCAGTCAGACATGGACCATTATTTTACGTTTTTTGTCTTTTTTAGAAAGAGCCAGAGATTATTCCTTACTGTCAAAGCAAGGAAGTGTAAGCTTAGAGGTCTGTCTCATGTTTGACATGACAGCTGCATGAGGAAGCAGGTTGAGTGAAATATTCTCCCCAGTCAATATAATATATTTACTGTGGTGCAGTAAGCCAGTAAGTGTTTCGCTTCTTTTTCTACAGCAGCGTCGGGCAGCTTTATGGCTCCAGACTGGCCAGCATTGCCCACACAAAACTTGTGTGGACTTTTAAAAAAGGGAGAATGTCTGCTCATCAAGCTTCAGTTTAATAGCTCCTAATATTAAACACTTATTAGGGTAGGTCACACTGACCTGAGTACTTTCCCCCTTTACTCCTCTTAATGAAGCAGAGGATGAGCAGGATCAGCAACAACAGCCCGATGGCGCTCACAACGCCAATGAACCAGCCCTGTGTTGCAAAGCTTGGCTGCATCTCTGTTACTCCTTAAGAGAGGAAAAAAGAAGGTGGTGGAAAAAGGAGTTAGAGCTTTTTTGGTAACAGGAAGCAGGAATGAAATACACGGCAAACGGAAAGTATGAGACAGATAGGGAGACCAAGATAAAAGAAGGAGTAGAATCTAGAGCAAAGGAGACGGATCATTATGCATTCTGACAGACTGCCATTTCACCAGGGAACCAAAGAATACAGCAAAATACAGCAAACAAACACAAGTAATGGATCATTTCATATGGCTAACCAAGCTCTCTTTTCACAAAAGTCTTTGAAAGCACTTCACAGGCAGAGAAAGAACTGCAAGACACTCTCTGTAGGATCAGGCTTTATATTTTTAGCTGCGGGAAACCCAGAGGAGAGAGCAGTAGGGATAAAAGGAAAGAGGATGAATGAAGGCTCATAGTACCTGTTCCTTCTGTCTCGATTCCAGCCTTGAAGAAGGTCGTGTTGTTGTAGATAAATTGGAAAGAATAATAGGAGCCAGGAGTCAAGCCCTGGATCTGGTAGAAAGACTGAGAGGAGTTCACCTTCTCTGTCGTCTTCCATTTATTGCCATCTGCAGAAGCACAGCAAGAAACCTGTGTCTTTTTCTTTTCTTGTTCAGGATTGTGTAGCTACTCCCACAAGGTAATAATCCTTTTAAAAGGTTGAATGCAAAGATGCGTAACTTATGCACAGATTAGTGTGACTATTATACCGTTCTTGTTGCGGTATTGGATCTGGAAGCCAACATTCCTGCGTCTCTTTTCTGGTACCCAGCTAAAGTTCACTGCGTTTTCCCCCACAGACAGGCTGATGTTCATAGGAACTACTGTAATGCATTCAGACAAGTGCAAATCAAATTTTT